TATATATACATATATATACAATGTACATAATTGCATTTCAAAATTAAAATACATGCAAAAACAAGAAACAATGATATATAACAATAAAAAAAAATTTAAAAAAAAAGAGAGAGACCTACATATTAAAACCAGATTGTAATATGTAGTAACATAGTATTATAATATCTAAACATTATGCACAAATTTTGCATTACAACTTTAGAGAAGTTTTAAATACACATAACATATTAAAAAATTACTTTATTAAGTTATTACAATTAAAAAAAATTTATATGGCTATTTTCATCAAGTAGATGAAAAATTATCAAGAATATGTGTTTAAACTTTTGTCAGATGGCAACAAATGCATTTTCATAAATAATAAAATTTGTGCATATCTGTTTTACACAGATTGTTTAGAAAAATTGAGCATATTTTAATAAACAATAAAATTTGTGTAATTTTTAAAATATAAATATCAAAAACATAACATTTGCTTTTGATATAAAGTGATGAAGAATGCAACAAGAAGCAAAACAGTAACCTAAAAAGATATCTATCAAGTGAAAAAATAAAAGCTAAAAAAATTCTATAACACATGAATTAGAGAGTGTATAATATATTTATTTGACTTAACAATTTTATTACATTTACACGCATTAATATGCACATTTTGACATCAATGAACAAAAAAAAATAAAGCTATATACTTGAATAAGTTTAAGAAGTCAACAGTCAGGACTCAAGTGATATCCTTAATGATTATAATGCAATATACTATAGCAATAAAAATAAAACAGATTCTTAATAAATTAAAAAATTGATGAATAATTGAAACTATAAAGTATACAGTGGTAGCTTTAGAAGTTAGTTAGTATATGGATGTGTAATACAGACAGTCAACCCTCGTTAACTCGAGTATTGGTTTCATGACTTTTTCGATAATTCAAAAAACTAAAAATTCCTTTCAAATTTCTTACACAGTCAATGTTATAAAAACCATGATTTGGCAATTACTTATTATTACTTGTTTATTTTAATTATTTCTTTTTTTAGCTCCTTCCTCAATGTTGTCAGAAATGAAGGCGTCTCACTATCTGGTGTAAATATCCTACAAGCTATGAGAATGGCTAACAAAGCTTGAGGTAATGTGTCTTTTCTACCATAATTAATGGATTTAAAAAGGCTGTTTTTGTAAAAGACCATGAAAGTTCCCCATTATTTAATAACATTGAGCTTACTGACAATCGAACAGAAAGTAACTAAAATCACCTAATGGAGCACATACAAGTTGGTGATATGGAATTTAATGATGCTGTTGATAATCCAGTTGCAGCATGAGATTTAGTGGGAGGAATAGCGATATTATTCAGCAAAATAAAGCCTAAAGATTCATCAGAGGAGAAGGATAGGGAAGAAATCTTCAATTTACTAAAAGATATCCAAAAAAAAGTAATATCTGCTATGAGTACTTTAAGACAATATGCATTAAATCAGCCAAATATGTTCAAGAACACATTCAAAGCTATGATCCATTTGATTTAAGTAGTATAATTGAAAAAAGGTAATTTTCTTCTCTTAACCCACTGGCGGTTCTGCACATAAGCCTTTTTCAAACCTGCAATCTTCTCCGCATAGCAAAATTGGTTTTTCCATGTTATTAGATAGGGAAATAATAGACTGGGGAGGAACATTCTCCCGATTTTGCACATTTGCTAAAACTTCAGTGGGCTAAGCAAACAATAATGGAACTTTTTTTTCAAATAATAATTTTTTGTAATTAGTATTTTTATTAAAAAAATTTTTAGAAACATTTTTAGAAATATTTTTAGAAACATGGAATGCACTAGTTAAAGTATATCAGATTTTACAAGGCACTTTTACTCAATTAAAATATTTTTTTAGAAATTAAACTATTAGCAATCAATTTCAATATAAATGTATAGCTGAAATAAATATATATTATAAAGTTGTAATTCACATAATCAGCAAAGCAATTTCATGTTGTAATATTCACACAATAGCTCTTAAAATTATTTGGTTTTATTATTTTTTATGAACTTAAACATATTTAAGGACAGGGTTTCAAACAAAAAAAATAAACTTTCAACTTAAATATTAATTTAACAATTAACGATAAAATATGAAAAAAATATATTGATAGGAAAGTAGTGACAATTTCATATCATACATAATTTTTTACATTAGTTACAGAAAGTGCCAACAGACAGCTACTAAAATAAACAATGATTAATTTGGTTCGAAAGCTGGGATTTGATGTGTTCACTATAGGCACTTTATTGCATGAAATACATGACTTTTTTTAGTACATAACCTCTTTTCGCCTATCACATCATAACTGGTCTTTCTGGGATTTGGAACACTTTTTATAGGGATCAAGTATTGCAACTACAGTCATTTTTGTAACTAATTTAATCTGTAGCGATATTCTGTAACTAAGTTTTAAAAATTAAGTACAATATTAAGGCAATGAGTACAAAAAATAGATTTCCAAAGAAGATTCTAAGTAGAGGAGATATTTTCGAACTCATCGATTCAGTTTATTATCAATATACCATTTATTTCATCTTTATATTGGTAGCTTTATTAGAAATATTTAATTTTGAAATTAAGTACTTCAAGATTAGACAAAATAATTTTAGATCCAAGTCATTCTGGCAAAAAACATAACATAAATAAACCATTCTTATGAGTTAACGAAAACTGAAACTACATAACTACCTAATTATAGGTAAAAAGATCACCTCAATTATTAAAAAGATTCAATTTATATGGTTCATTTATTTTATCTTATTTATACTCAATTTCAATACAAGTTGAGAATTCCAAAAAGTTTGAGAAACAAGTTGAAAAATACAAGTTGCATTGAGGAATGAGTGAGACGTCACACCTGGTTAAAAGAATTACTAAGCTTTACACTAAGTACAATTGAAGGAGAAAAAATCAAATATTACAACAAAATAATATTGATTTTATTTTTTTAAAGTGAAAAAATAAAAATGCACATTTTTCAAATCAACTTATCAAATTTATAGAGGTTTTATGCCTCATAAAATTATAATTTTAAACTATGATAAGAATCTCAGAGTTAAAAGAATTAAGAATATTTCTATCAATGATCAAATTAAGAGCGATACAAAATATTCTTATTTAGGGTAAATTTCACTTGGGTATTTTAAGAAACAATGACGATTAAAAAAAAATCCAGCTATGTCTCTATACATCATAAACAAATAATTGTCGTTTTATTTTGTCATTTAATTTCATTGTCATTTGGTACTAATTTTAGCCTAATAGAATTGGTTACTAAATTCGCGTAAATAAAATTTAAAAAAAAAAAAAAAAAAAAAAACATTAGTAATCTGTTTAAATTTTTAATGGAATAATTTTAGCTTAAATGTCACATTTTGCTTTCTGTCAAAAAACAATAATGATTGTGAAGCATTCATGGGGGTTAGTGAGCAAAGCATACACAAGAAAAAACCCTTCAATTTCAACATAAGTTACAAAGCATAAACATGAGGCGAAATGACATTATCATACATTGTCTAAATTATTTTAATATTAATCTGAAGTTCTCAGAGCCACACTGAGTCAATATAGAACAATGTGTTCATCACAGAACTTAACATGAACATGCAAAAAAAAAAAAAAAAAAAAAAAAAAAAAAAAAACTAAATAAAATAAACAAACAGAATAGTTCAGCAGAAGAAATATTTATAAAACATTTTGTAAACACCTTAATCCATGAGTTTCAGAATATGTTCTAATGTACATAATGTATTTGTGAAAAAACAGATAAATTGAAAAAAATAATAATGTAACACTTGTTTTATTTTTGTGAGTTCAAATAAATACCAGTAACTTTTTATAAAGATTAGTGACAGAAATTAAAAAAGTAATAACTATAGTGATTAATATTACAGTTGTATTAACTGGAAGACATTGTAAATATACAAAAATGTACAAGTCCATAAAATATAAAAAAATGTATTAATGGTATGTTAATCAATAACTATTCAATCACTTAAAATAATTTAAATTAGCAGAAACAAAATTTAAAAAAATTAATAAATCCCAAATGATTCACTTAGTTATCAATAAAAAAATTTTTGAACAAACAAATGAATTTAATAATGCCAGATCAAAAATTGTCTTTAGTGAAAACGTTTCCCACAAATATGACATTCAGAAAGACATTTGGTAGTAGGAGTCTTCAATTTCTCTCCCATATGACTCTAAGATATATAATTACGTTGAGTACATAAATATATATATATATATATATATATATTAAACAAAAATAAGTAAAAATAGACATTTTCTTATTGGCCATATAAGATGCATTAATGGTATGCTGGTTAGAAACTTTTAAATCACTTAAAAAAATTTAAATCTGCAGAAACAAAAATATTAAAAATAATAATAATTAGTAATTAATAAAAAAATTACTTCACTCATTTAATTAGTAATAAATAAATCACCATTACTTTATTCATTTAGTTACTGATATATGAATTGAATAATGCCTGATCAAAAATCGCCTTTGGCTGAAACGTTCCCACAAATATCACATTCAACAGAGCGTTCATCAGTATGAGTAATCTTATGTTCTCTCATATAATTTTATAACAAGTTTGAGGGAATACAATATTGATAATTGGCTATATAAGGTAATATTAATGGTATGTTTATCAGTAACTATTATATCTCTTAAAATAATTTAAATTTGTAGAAACAAAATTTTTAAAGAAAATAGATCGCTAATAATTCAATTAGTTATCAATTAATTAAAATTACTTTACTCATTTAATAAGTAATCAATAATTCACTATAACTTTGCTTATTGCTAACTGACATGAACTGAACAGTGTCTGATCAAAAATCTTTACTCATTTAATCAATAATTCACTATAACTTTGCTTATTGCTAACTGACATGAACTGAACAGTGCCTGATCAAAAATCGCTTTCGGCTGAAACGTTTCCCACAAAGATTACATTCAAAAGGACGTTCACCAGTATGAGTCGTCATATGCTCTCTCATGTGACTTTTATAAGAAGTTGAATAGTTACATTGAGTACAAAAATGAATTTTCATTTGCAGCTGCCTGGTTCCTTGAACACATACATTTGTCGATACCATATCACAACCTAAAAACAATAAAAATAAGCAAATGATAATTTTTAAAAAAAAATTTTTTTAACCTTTTGCGGGCTATACAATACATAATTTATTGCAAAGCTTAATCAGGGTGCATAACCAGAATTTTCAACAAAAAATAAGCACCTTTTAAGTACTATTCAAGCACTCATAAAATATTTTTAATCCCTTTTCAAAAAAATTCATAATTAGGATCTGTGCAGTAATAAATAAAAAAAATTCTATTGTTTAAAATTCTTAATTTATAAACATAAAACCATTACAATTTGAAAATAAATAAAATAACTAGTTTTTGATAAATATTGTAGGGAAAACTGTGAAAATCATGCATTTTTTTATAATTTAAAACAACAATCGATACGGGAAAGAAAAAAATCTCTTTTTAAAAGATAGAAAATTGAGCACTTTTTACAAACCCCGAATAATAAAAGCCCCTTTAAGGGCTTTTAAAAAACGTAAATCAAATATAAGCACCTTTAACACTTTTTAAAAACGCTAACCACCCTGTTAATATAAAACATATTTCAGTGAATCAAAATTTTAAGCTAACTCTTAAGTTTTGAATTTTGGAACATTGCCTTCAGTCATGCTGAAATTTCAACATATTTCGAAAATAGTGATAAATTATTTTGTTTGTTTTAATTAGAGTAATCACATAGTTTTGAAATAAAAAATACTGCATAAATAAAGCAAATGATTTCAAAATATATATTTTATTTAAGCATTAAAATAAGGAATTAATTTCATAGAAGGAATCATTTATTTGTTTTCACATTAAAAGAAAGTTTTTTTTTCCAGATTTTTTGCAATTAATCATAATATTAGCAATTAATACAATAACAATTCAAAAAAATAACAAATAAATAAAAATTTCTTAAAAATTATAATTGTGGGATAAAATTATGTTAAAGTATCATTTAAACAATTCATGCATATTAACTCAAAATGAATTTATCCAAGTCTTCTTGACAGGATCTTACTTTTAAGGATTCTAAGAATTAAAAATGGTGCATTTTATAACAGAAAGCTTTAAAAAAAAATTCGAGATACAATATTTTTGATGAGGGAGGGAACAATATATGAGTGAAAAATACACTGCTAATGTTCAACATTTTATTTAAAATGCTTATAAAAAATCTAAAATCTTTTAATTATTGAAGATTTTTCTAGACATAAAAATATCTTTAAAACCAAGATGACTTTGTGTAAAATAAGAGATATACGAAACATTTATAAAATTTTATAATTTTGCAAATGAAGTTTCAAAAAAAGGTTTTTCTTTTAAATGGATAAACATGTGCTTGCGTAAGTGGACTTTCTGTACGAAACATTTGCCACATATTTGGCAATTATATGGTCTTTCTCCAGAATGAGTTCGCATATGATTTTTAAAGTGAGTTTTGTTTCTAGTAGAATAGTCACACACTGGACAGTCATGTTGCACACGCAGAACATTGAACTGAGGGTCTTCCCTTGCTTGAAAAAACTGAGCTTTTCTCCCTGCAAAAAATATATAATAATTGTAAGAGATCATGCTAAAATTTGCCTCCATACCAGGTGATTTGAGAATAGAGGAACAGACATACCTAGACAACTTAGGATAAATCTAAAAATCCTTGAATTGCATAGCAATGTAAGATGGGATACATATCGATAATTTAGAAACACATAGCAATATATGGCTGGAAATGCAATCTAAAGGATATATGGGGTGCAATTAGGGGCTGTCACACAGGTGTTAGGAGAGAAAATGAGTACCCATCAAGGTTGTATGAGACCTGCATGAAATCTGAATGTTTCGTAATATACTGTAAATGCACTACTTCAAAACAAATAACAGCACTTATTTTTTTAGAGACATTATAAAGTTTTGAAGAAATTAAAAAGAATGGTTATCAAGTAAGATTATTTTATGGTCTTTCAATGCTAATTTAGGATCACAAATTCATATTTTTTGATCTGATACATATGTGACGGCTCTATACTTCCTACTACGTTAAGATTGCGTTTCCAACCCTGCGTTTGTGTACTCCATCTCAATGGAGTTATTCATGAGAGGGAACGTTGGGTATAAGTCCTCCTCAATAATTAGAAACCTTAATTAATCCTCCCAAATATTTTAGAAAACAAATCACTAATAATCCTTGATGTGTTCAGTTAAATTCAAAACAAGCTAAATATTGTATTAAAAAATAATAATCTTCCTACAAATATTTCACAAATAGAAGAAACTTTTATCAATTTTTTTTAAAAAAGAAACTTTAAAAACAACTTTAAAAGCGTATTTTAATCCTGTCCTCCTCAAAAATTAGATCCTCATGGCTTCAACTCTCCTAGAAGATAGTTCCTTTAACATTGAATCACATTATATATGCTTGCATATCAAAAAATAAATTAAATACGTAGAAATTTTAAAAAAAGGTTAAAATTTAGATTTATTAAAAGTTTTATTCAATTAATTTGGAACATATATTGAATTCACTGTGTAAACATAGCAAGTAACAAATAGGAATGATGGACACTAACAGTATTTATGCATATCCAATCACTTTCCTTTTTCATAGTTTATCCAAACAAACAGATAGAAAATTTGGCATTTATCTTACATGTGGCAACAAGAAATCAAGTAAGAAGTACAAACAGCATTTGAAACCATAAATGGCCTGCCAGTTCAAGACCATAAAAACACAACTCAGTTCGAGAAAATTATCCTCAGGAGTTTACATGGCATCAGTAACTGTTGTTAGAAATATTTTCCCAGTAAAACATTTATGAATATATGAAAAAAATGCACTTTTTGTTCATTTAAGATTGGAATAAATAACATATTTAAAAATTAAGCTAGAAAAACTGTAAAAAATACAAAAAAAATTCCTTACTTTTTTCATCAACAAAAATTAACCTATTTTTCTTTTATTTTTTTGGTTTTAATTCAGGAACATATTTCAGGGTTTTAAATGATGATAAACTGCATGAAAACCCCAACAATTGAAATATAAATATCATGTCTATCTTAAAAAAATATTTTAATATTTTTATTTCAATGTATATACATTCTTTTAACATTCAAACATGGGGAAAAAAACTACAGCTAATAATAAAAATTGACAACAATAAATTATGGCAGTCTAGCTTCATTAGATTAATAAACACAATGTGAAACACTCTTTCCATATGTGATTGATCATTTACCAACTTTTTAGAAAATTCTTTTTCACAAATAATGTGAATCATCATATGTTCCTTTAGAATATTAAACAACAAAATAGTGACACTGGGGACAACAATGACCAATAGTAACTAGGACTTTAATCCAGGAATTAAATCATTCTTTATTATTTGTACTAACAGTAAATCTTTTTCCACATATTAGATATTTAAATTAATGCCTCCAGTGCAAGTCATTAAATGTTTCTTTAGATGTACTATATAAGAAAAAAGTGGCACTGGGGACAACAATGACCAATAGTGATTAGGACTTTAAACCAGGAATTAAACTGTTCCTGATCATTTGCACTTACAGTAAATCCTTTTCCACTTACCATGTTCTTTAGCACAAATCATCAAATATTCCTTTAGATATATTACATAACAAAAAAGTGACACTTTGAACAACAATGAACCATTCTGACTAGGAATTTAAACAAGGTATCAAACCATTCCAGATCATATGACACTTACACAAAATGATTTTCTACATATTAGATATTTAAATGAACGTTCTTTAGTGCACATATTAGATAAACGTTCTCTAGTGCAAGTTATAAAATGTTCCTTTAGATATATTAATTAACAAAATAGTGACACTGGGGACAACAATGAATTTTAACAACTAGGACTTTAAGCTATGCAATAAACAGTGTCTAATCATTTGCCGCTTTTGGGAAAATCCTTTCCCACAAATGTGACATTCAAATGGACGTTCTCCAGTGTGAGTCATCATGTGCTCTTTTAGATGTGTTGAATAACGAGATGAATAGTTACATTGGGAACAATAATGCACTTTGAATTGTTTTCGCTTGTTTCCTAGATCAAACAGAACATGTGTTGATAACATTTCAAAACCTAAAATTGATATGCATAAATTAATATAGAGCCAACCTCTTCCTCAAACAGCTCACAAGCATCACAAAATATAATAATTCATTGAGTTCATAATGAAAAAAAAAACACTTTTAATCTTTTAACTTATGCATAGGATACATGTTTAATATTTTTAAATAACTGAGCTGCTTAATTTATTTTACAGTATAATTTATTAATAAATTATTAGCAAGTAGGAATCATTTGCTTTAATTTTATTTTTTAAAAAATAGACCTTTTTACTATAGAAGAAAGGTAAAATATCCTGGCTAATATTTGGTAAAAAATTATTAAATATTTATAGATAAATTTTTGAGTTTAGTTTGTCAATGCGAATTATTAATAATCAAACAATTAACAGAAAATACTAAATAAATTAAACAGAAAATTTATAGTTCCATATTTAACTGTTTTATTTTTAATTAGTAATAAAAATTCAATATGAAGTAGCTTTAACATTAAAAAAAATATATCTGTATACATTTTAATTTAAAGTAATTTTAATATATGATCTTTATTTTTTCAAAAAAAAATTTTATAAATCCCTTTTTACAAAAATGTTTTTAAAAGGTATGCAAAGTTGTTTATATATTAAAAATTGCAGATCAAAGCTTAATATTTACCAGATTCAGTATAACGTGATGGAACAATAAGTTTCCAGAAAGTAATACATTGATAAATAATGAGAAATAAAACTCGAAACAAATAATATGTTTCCTTACGCATCTTATTTTTGCCATAAACATAAGGTTACAGTAAAATATTACATTCAACAAGAATGAATTACAAAATAAAAAAAAGTTAAATAATGGTTACATGGGGGAAAGTTAAAAATGGTTACAAAGTTAATAATGGTTACAAATGGAAAAGTTAAATAATGGTTACAAATTCAGGGAAAAAAACATTCTATAAAAGAGAGAACACTTTATTTTTTTAAATTCAAATTTCAATAAATGTTTTTACATACTACACGCTAGATGTTATATGAAATAATTATGATGAAAAATGAAAATGCAAGGAAGAACAACCTAAAAATATTGTTCTATTAAACCATGAGTAATCATATGCCCCTTTAGGTGATGTTTCAAAGTAAAGGATTTATTACAAACGTTGCACACATGTGGACGTTTACCAGAATGAATACGAACATGTTTTCGAAAGTTACTACTGTCATGTGTTGAATAGTCACATTCTGAGCAAATGTTAACAGTTTTGTGGCGCTTGGTAACGGTAAAAGTTGAATATATTGCAGGTTTCAATTCTGTGCCTGCAAAATACATTAGAAAAATTACTTCAAATTAAAAAAAAACCTATCAAAATAGGAAAAAAGTTAAAATAATTTAAATGAAAAATGGATTGTAAAAATTAAATTTCTTAAAAATATTTTTACAATGAAAGCTGTGTAAGTTGATCACTTATGGAGCATTGCTTCAGTGGTCAACTTCTAAAACGAGATGAACCATTTTCTTTTATCATTTCTGATATCATGTTACAGCAGATCTTTATAACACAAACCTTGAAATGCAAGGCTTTGCATTTTACAGATTTTTGCATTATGTAGATCATTTCACAAATCTTTTAACTTACCTATTAAAAGTGACAATATTAGTCTGGAACAAATGAATTTTAAAATGCTTTAAAATAATTTTTAGATACAAATAATTAAAAGCCCAAAAATATGTTCTTTAACATTTACAAGAAAAAATTACATTTTCCGAAGCATTAGAGCTAATAAACAAATTTATCACTTTGTTTTTGTTTAGCTTTTAAATTGTAACCTGGTAACAAATAATTAAACAAATTATGTAAAAACTTAATAATTTTTGCTTAGTTACACAAATTTCATTACTGCTTACACCTGAAAGTTTATGGAGTGTTGCATTATATAGATCTTCTACTGTACTTTTATTTCAATTGTATCCTCAATAAAAATAGTATAAACAAATAAAATAGTACAACATTAAAATTTCATTTAGCAAATACCTCAATGAATATTACCAGAATAAATTTCACTTTATTAAGCAAATTTAACATTAAACTTATTAACTTAAAAATCCTTTTTTTGTCAATAATGCATGTGATGTTTTTATTATAGATATTTTCTAAAAATATCTAAATAAATCCATCTAAAATACCCATCTATAAAACTCCAAAATGTATGCAATTATAAAACATAATAGAAATTTTTTCATTGTTCTAAAATTTATTTTGTTACACCTTATAAACATATTTCTTGCCTTATAATACCTTATGGCGCTGTCGCTTTGACTTTTTTTCAATACAAACATAGAGATCCATAACTATCTCAGGAATATCAAGTCAGACATATAACATAATAAATTGCAAACACCGTCTAATGCTTCTAAAAAAGTTAAAGGGGTCTTTTCAGAGTTATCAGCAATAGCTGCATCTTCACTGTCTTGTCAATTATCTCATGTTTTTTAGGTTGTTTTTATCAATTGAAAAACTAACTAGATTTTTTAGACATTTTTTTGTAAAAATTTATCATGATCAGTGTCTAAAAACCTCCTAGCTTCTCACTGTCATACGGATAACCTCTCACTGTCAATACGTTTTTATCAGGAGTAGAAACTGTTTTTTCACTACCACCTCTTTAATTTACTGTTAAATTATTTATTAATTTTATTTATAGTTTGGATTATCCAGAATTTCAGATTACTGTAGTTTGGATTTGGGGGAGGGTCTACTATATTTTGCACATCTATCAACAGAGTTATCATTGATGCTTACAATGCATAAATTTATCAGAAGCCATCACATCTTTACAATTGAACTCAAGGATAATTAGGCATGGTTTCTGGGATATAATACCTGTTTAGTCATTTTTGTATGGTAGGTCAATGTTTGGAACATTACTGTTATTGTACATTCTTCCAGTAGATAAGAATCTTACAATGGCTTTTAACGTTGAATAACTCAAAATATTGAGGAACATTTCCAAATTGTAGAACTACTATTGCTTAAAAAAATATTTCATTATATACATATCAGAACAATTTTAATACACTTTATAAATGAAAAATGAAGGTAAATAAATAAAATTATTACATGTTTCAAAACAGTATCAACACATAATGAATTTTTATACAATATTATATAATAAATTACATACAGTATTATAAATTTTAAACAGTAATGCAAATTTTAAATATTTTGGGGGAATTTTCACATTTATAATAAAAATGTCGAATTTCTATGAGTGAAATATTAAATTAAAATGAACATTGAATTAAATGTTAAACTATCAAAGAAATAAAAGTCTGTTCTAGGAACTTAAAATAAAAGGTCTTGTAACAATAAATCAATTATAAACAACTCAGATTTTTCCTTACATATTCTATATTGAAGTATGCTTCACTTGTTATAAAAAAATTTTAATTAAAATATAAAAATGATAAGTCACATAAAATTAAGCACAGCTCACCTATTAGGACACAGGATCACAGAACCTTCGAAAACAACTTTAACACGTGGGAAACAACATAAATACAATGCTAAGTGGATGAAATACATGAAATTCTGCCAGCAAAACAACATTTATAATCTTTCAAACCTAGAAATATCTTTCCCTTTTGATCACACCAAATAGTGATTTGCGATGGACAGAACGTGTACAATAAAGTTTCAAAAGGAAAACTATAGAACTAGTTGAAGATCAATCGTTTTGATTTTCCGTGCTTTAAATAAGTTGAATTACATTCAGCTTTCTTAGTAGTGAATAATAAGATAAAACAGAGCCTGGACAGAATGACAGCGTCATCTAGAGAAAATATTTTAATTTTTCTTGTGAATTAAACTATGCATACTTTACATTCTGTAAATTGAAAAATACCTGTTTTGAGAGATAATGAATGAAGACATTTTAATTCAGTTTTCGTTAAAAATGTGATAGTAAAAAATTAGCAAGGAGATAGAAAATTTCAGATGTTATTATCATTTCTTGATCTTAAAGTATAAAAAACAATTTTTAATTCTTACTCATTAGTAAGAGCATTACATCTATGTTACATTATTTTAAATAATTAAAAAAATATGTTAATTTAAGCATTTCTCCCTATAACATTTCCCCATTTCATTAAGCAATTAAGCCCTATAACATTTCTCTTTATATTAATCAATATAAATATAGTTCATCTGTATATTCTTTCATTAACAGAAATAAACGAACTTCAACATGCTAACATAAACTTGCAACAATATACATACTATTAGATTACAAGAATTCCATTATTGGTTAGAGAAACAGTGCAAAATGTAAAGCATGAGTGAAAAAAAAAAACAGTGTTGCAGATAACGATAGTTAAATATTTCTTAAATTGGGGCAAAAAGAATAAATGTTTTCAGACATGTACGGTTTCAAAGAATAACTAGTACAGGAAACCAGAAAAAAAAATTTAAAAAAAGTAAATGTCAGAGAAAATAGTCTAAATCACTTTTTTACTAGATACATTATATAAATACAGTATAGAACCCGTTATCCGGAAATCAGAAAACCGGAAAACCAAAAAACCGGAACGAAATTCGGTACATTTTCCCGCCATTTAAAAATTAAAAATTTTTTTTTCCTCATAAGATTTTAGAATTTTTCCTTCTTTTTTGAACGATGTTTACCTTACCATCATTTTGGAAATAATCATTAGTGTATTACTTCATCGTTTTTCTTCGTTTTAAGATTATTTTCAAATAATTTTTTTTTTAGTTGGGTTAGCAATAAAAAAAAAACTGCTTTTTGCAGCGATTCAGAAAACCGGTAAAATCAGTTATCCGGAATAGCGATGGTCCCGATCGTTCCGGATAATCGGTTCCCTACTGTATATACTTTGAAAAATCATGTTCAGAATACTTAAAAAAGTAAATAAATAATCAAGTAATTTTTATTTTAGGGCTATAATATAACAAGTAAATTATCATTTTAAAAACTACAACTCAAATCGAATTGCACAGTTACTTTGGAATTTATAACTAAAAAGCATATCACTTTTTTGTAATTTGAAAACTAAACCTTAAAGTTTTTAAAATGATTTCCAACTAAAAAGAAAAAATCTAAAAAATAATTTTCAAATATATATATGTAAAAAAATCAGCCTGATTGGCGAGTGACATTTCCAGTATCTTCCTTGTTAATTAACATCTTTCAGCCAGAAAACATACGAATTACAAAAATACTTGCACAAAAACAACACATTTTTAAAATTTTTATCGAGACTAGAAATAAATAAAAATAAGACATGAATGACATATTCCTTTAGAGCACATGTTTTTCTTAATGGCATATTCAAAAAATACTTTAAAAAAGAAAAGAAAACAGAAAATGCAAAATTGCATCATAAAAGAGAAAGTCAAATGATCACTCAAACAAAATCTTGATTTAGTTCAGCTTACCTTCACCAATTTTTATTGTTTTCCTTTACTTTTGTTATTAATATTATTTTGAAGAAATATGTTATATTTTTAAAAACTAGTTCACTTCTTAAAAAGATATTATAAAAAGAAACATACTTTTTATCTTATTGTCCGGAACAGTTCATCAAAAGTTTCTTAAGCACTCAAATGTTCATTATTAGGAAGTTTGAAGTGAATCAACATGTGCTTCTTTAAATTGCCCTTTAAGCTGAAAGATTTTCTACATACCGAACACTTATGAGGACGTTCCCCGCTATGAGTTAATGTGTGGTTTTTCAAAAGAGAAGGATAATATGTAGAATAATCACATTGAGGACAAATATATACTGTAAGAGGCTTCTGTCTTCCAGTTCCAGGTAGATGTGTTAATACTTTAGCACCTTAGACAGAAAATTAAATGTTAAATATAAGTTAATAAACTTCCTTAAAAAAAACCACTCATACAATAATCTAGCAATATAAAAGTAAATACTAAAATTCTAAAAATAATTGAAAAAAAATTAAAAACAGTTTTGTAATGTCATACTTTTACCACAAGTCAAGAATAAACAAAAAGAATTTCCTATTATCTAATTTCAACGAATAATCGTTTTTTTCCATACATTTAAGTATTTTACAAATTGAATAAAAGTCAACGAGAAAAAAACATGAATCACAACATACTAATACTAAAAACAAAGTTTTCTTTTTTCAAATAATAAAACATTTTTCTTAACATAATTTATGTAAGTAATTTATGCTGAGCAAAATCAATTTTCATTCACTAAAATGGGACTGGTACACTATATGGAACGAGGCAGACATTAAATTTTAACTTCAAATGGAACAAATAACTTAATCCTTTCATTTGCTGAAAATAATTCAATGATTATAAGTAAGGAAAATGAGACTAAATAATATCAAATAGTCTTACATATTGTCCGCACATTCAAAAATTACAATAGCTGACAAAAATCGAGCCCATTAAAAAAAATTATGATTTGTACAAATTTTTAAATAATGTGAAGTTTAGGAGAAACTTATCAGAATAAAATTGGTTACTTTTTATTTACGGTATTGGTAATTTTAGTTACATATAAATTTATTTTAAAAGTCAATCCTATTATATTCATCATAAAGAACCAAATTAAAAAAAATAGCCAAAACAAAATGTATCAAAATTTATAAACATCAAATTTGAAATATCTTAAAACAACAAAAAAAAATTTGTCATAATAAAAATAAAGCAAACAATAACATCATGCCTTTTAATTAAGCAGAGTCAGATTTTTTTTCCCATCTTAAAAATGGGATAAGAGGGGTTCCTTCTAAAGACAAATGATTTCGCTTAGTGTAAACCTTTTGCTACAACAACCTCAAAAATAATGCTAATAATAAACTCATTTAGATCAACACTAAAATAAAACTTTTAAAATTAATAGCCTTATGATTAAAAAAAATTATTTTAAAATTTGCACAATTAAAAGAGGGGAAGGATCTCAATTTTTAAAATTGAGTTTGAAAAAAATAGAACAAAAAGAAATATATATATAAAGAGCAAGTCTATGAATCCAAAAGGCCACCCAGTTAAGTCCCCAAAAAAATGTTTGGTTAAAATTTGGCAAAAGATACCGTACTTTTTATTTACGGTATTGGTAATTTTAGTTACATATAAATTTATTTTAAAAGTCAATCCTATTATATTCATCATAAAGAACCAAATTAAAAAAAATAGCCAAAACAAAATGTATCAAAATTTATAAACATCAAATTTGAAATATCTTAAAACAACAAAAAAAAATTTGTCATAATAAAAATAAAGCAAACAATAACATCATGTCTTTTAATTAAGCAGAGTCAGATTTTTTTTCCCATCTTAAAAATGGGATAAGAGGGGTTCCTTCTAAAGACAAATGATTTCGCTTAGTGTAAACCTTTTGCTACAACAACCTCAAAAATAATGCTAATAATAAACTCATTTAGATCAACACTAAAATAAAACTTTTAAAATTAATAGCCTTATGATTAAAAAAAATTATTTTAAAATTTGCACAATTAAAAGAGGGGAAGGATCTCAATTTTTAAAATTGAGTTTGAAAAAAATAGAACAAAAAGAAATATATATATAAAGAGCAAGTCTATGAATCCAAAAGGCCACCCAGTTAAGTCCCCAAAAAAATGTT